TCCGTGGTAGAGTGCATGGTTTGGATGTAAAAAGTTCCAGGTCCAATCCCAGGCATTCCAGGTAGGACTAGGAAAGACCAGGTCTGAAACCCTGGAGAGATGCTATCAGACATTTCAGAGAATACTGAACTAGATGGGGGTAAATGAGTTTTGGAAGCAAGAGGGGAAATGCTTTCCCACTGAATAATTAGGATTTTTGTCACCTTTACAGGGATGGGGATCACTATGATGCATTGAGAGACTGCTTAAAGGCCATCTCCCTAAATCCATGCCACTTGAAGGCTCACTTCCGCCTGGCTCGCTGTCTCTTTGAGCTGAAGTATGTGGCAGAAGCACTGGAGTGTCTGGATGACTTCAAAGGAAAATTCCCAGAGCAAGCACATAGCAGTGCTTGTGATGCACTGGACCGGGACATCAATGCAGCCCTTTTCTCAAAAAGTGATAATGGTGAGAACTGTTGTGCCAGCGTATTGCCATCCTGCCCTGAGCATTGGTGAAGGCTTAGATTCCTTTTCTTAAATTATCAAACCTCTGAGGTATACATGATTCAAGACTATTCAGCTGCAACTTGCATTAGCACTGCACTTTTCTTTTTATGCCTTTATGTTTTTCCGAACAGCGCAGATATCAGTTGTATGGTGGTGGGTGTAATTTAGATCAGGGCCAGACTGAGAAGCTAAGAGGGCCACATTCAGCCCCGGGCCTGAGGTTCCCCACCCCAGGATCCAATAATTTCTGAGGTCCCTTCCAGCTTTAAAATTCCTAGGTGGTGGTTGTTGTTTAGTCGTTTAGTCGTGTCCAACTCTTCCTAGGTAGAGGATGTTATTTATCGCTGTGAAGTAGGGTAGACTGAGAAGCAGCAAGGCTTTCTTGTGCTCTCCCAAGTGCTAGAAACAAGTAACACTGTGTTTGACTTTTTTTAGCGGAAGACAAGAAAGGGAGCGGCCCTATCTGGCTGCGAGCAACGGGCCGAAAAGATTCCATTTCGGATGATGAGATGGTGCTGAGGGAGCGCAGCTATGACTACAAGTTCAGATACTGCGGCCACTGCAACACCACCACAGACATCAAAGAGGCCAACTTTTTTGGCAGGTATGTCAACTTCTCTCAAGGTCAGGAGTGGAGTTTCTGCTGTTTATGTATTGCCCTTCCATCTGTACTGCCTGCTGAATTAGGGATCGAGAGAAATTTTGTTTGGTCCACATTTTACAATGATCAAACCTAACTCTTGCTTCAATTCTTTTACTTACTCTCTCCAACAATCCCTGCCCCCCCTCCCAGCAATGCACAGTACATTGTCAGTGGCTCTGACGACGGCTCCTTCTTCATCTGGGAAAAAGAAACAACAAACCTGGTGCGGGTGTTGCAAGGCGATGAGTCCATTGTCAACTGCCTCCAGCCCCACCCGAGTTACTGCTTCCTGGCCACCAGTGGCATTGATCCAGTCGTACGGCTGTGGAATCCCAGACCAGAGGTATGATCAGACAAAGGATTAGACAAATGCAGGGATCTGCCTTCTACAGGCAACCTCTAGCCCTGGTTGCTGAATGCTACTTGCATGTGCTGACCTTTAAAGCCCTAAAAGGCCTCAGCCCAGTATACCTGAAGGAGCATCTCCACCCCCATTGTTCAGCCCGGACACTGAGGTCCAGCACCAAGGGCCTTCTGGTGGTTCCCTCACTGCGAGAAGTGAGGTTACAGGGAACCAGGCAGAGGGCCTTCTCGGTAGTGGCGCCCGCCCTGTGGAATGCCCTCCCATCAGATGTCAAGGAAATTAACAATTATATGACTTTTAGAAGACATCTGAAGGCAGCCCTGTTTAGGGAAGTTTTTAATGTTTGATGTTTTATCGTTGTTGTTTTTTATATTCCATTGGGAGCCACCCAGAGTGGCTGGGAGACCTGGCCAGATGGGTGGGGTATACGTAATAAAGATGATGATGATGATGATGATCAGAGCAATGTGCCTGCCGTGGGTTAAGCTTGGAAAACCAAAAGCAGCCCCACCCACTTTGGTTTGCCCAGCACGAGCAGCTAACGTTGCCTGTTGCCCTTCCTCTTGTTTTGCAGAGCGAGGCACTGAACGGGCGAGTGGTGGAAGACATGGAAGGCGCTTCCCAAGCCAACCAGAGGCGGATGAACGCTGACCCACTGGAGGTGATGCTGTTTAACATGGGCTACCGGATCACAGGACTGACTAGTGGTGGGACTGGAGGCTCAGATGATGAAGACAGCTCCGAGGGGCAAGTCCACTGCCGGACCAGCTAAAGCTGAACTGCCTCTCCTTCCCATGATTTTGGGGTTTTTTTGTTTTTGTTTCTTTGTTTGAAGGGAAATCTAGTTTGCTCAGTTTGAACTCTGATGAACGACTGCACTGTTTCACACTATGCACAGAGTAGGACACGTCAGCAGGGGCAAGAGTGGCTTTGTTAAACTGCTGCTACTATTTCTTCCCCCCTTTTGCCCCGTTCCACTATTGAGCAGCATGGTAACGCGGCCTGTTGAGTTTTGCCTCCCAGCAGAATCTAGTCTGTACAGGGGTTCCTTTTCCACATTGTCTGTGAGCAGTGTAAAACTGGTAGCCATCCCCTCCTCCAGCGCTGCTGCATGGCCTGGACGGCGGGAGGCATTGCCTACATGAATGCATTTTACAGAGAGGATGTTTAAAAACTCAATAAAATGTAAAACTAGGGCAGGGATTATGGAATTAAGTTTAATGCGGTGATCTGTGTCTCTGAAGCTTGGCTTGCCTGCTCTGCTGCTAGCTATTGGCCCATAGTTGTGGCCTCTCTGGTGTCTCTTCCAGCCCACAGGACAGCTGATGAGCCCAGCCTCTGCATCTAAAGCCATGGTCACAAGCAAGTGGCTAGAGAGAACATGGACAGCTTAATTCATGTGACTCTGGAGGTGCAAAATACATGACACCAGGCAGAGAAACTGACTTCCTGGTATTCAATACTTTATTTCTTCCATGTGCAGAGAGAGAAATGGCTGTAATAGAGAGAGGCCCTGACACGGGGCTCTGTGACTTATGTGACTGGAGCTAGTAAAAAGACCTGATGTTGCTGCTCTTTGGAAAACTCCTGATTCCCCCACCCCACCCCCGGCAACTTCTCCCAGAATGTTTTCTTTCTTGTGTGTCTATGGTTAGGCATGTGGCGTATGTGGGACATGCCTCATCACTGCTTGGGACTGAATGCTGAAAGTGAACTGATTCGCTGGCTCTCCACAAGGTTGTCCTTCCCCATTTCCTTGACATTTGTGTGACCTCCCACCTCTGCCATGCATAGAGGAATCTCCATGGGGTTTGTGAACTTCTTAGTGGAGCCGCCTATCCTTTCTCAAACCTTGTTTCTGGTGGGCAGGAGTCCTTAAAGTGGCACAGGATGTTGACTCCTCTTTTTTGTTAAATGACTCCATTTTACCTGTTTGCTTCCAGCCATCAAATGGATACCACACAGTTGATGTAACGTGGCTTTTTTAAAAATATGATTGTGACCTAAGCCCAAGAGTCCCTGCGCAATACACGTAACATTTGTTCTCTCCTCATTTATGTTAAATTCTAGCATTGTTCCTTGAGGTAAGAATGGAGGGCGGAGAGAGAAAGGTATGCATGACCAGGACAAATGCTACGTTAAGGTTGGCTTTTAGGAACACAGAATTCCTGTGTTTTGTGAAGGAAAAGACATGTTTGGGAAAGTGATCTCTGGACATGGCGCACACCTTGACGTCTTTTGTGTCACATCTCTGGAGCAAGTGGTTGCAGAAATAATGGTGGCATAAAATCTGCTGTCAGTACAACTTCAGGGTGTGATGGTGTTGATAATGCGCCATTGTCTTGAACCAACTCAGACCTTCTCTTCCAGGTAACTCTTCTCTGGGATTTATGCTTGGAATTGGAAGCAAGGCAGGCAGCCATTTGTGGGTGGGTGTTGAGGAGAAATATGACTGTAACATTGCTGTCTCCATTAAACATCTTTGCTTTGCCTCCCCTTGAAAATGTGTGCCCTGAAATAAGACCTTCAATAGCATCCCATGGTCTTTCTGAGTAGAATGACATACTGTAGTCTTGCATCATGTAGTGCAGCATTCTCCAACTTGGTTCTCTCTAGATCTGTTGGGGCACCAGGTGTTGTTGGACTACAACTCCCAACCCCCCGACAACTGGTCATGCTAGCTAGGAATGATGGGAGTTGTAGTCCAACAACATCTGGGGACCCAAGGTTGAGAAAAGCTGCTCAAGGTGATGTTGAACTCAAATACATAGCTGTCCCAGCAATAATGGCCAGAGGCCAGAGATGGTGGTTGTTTTAGTCCAGCAATGTCTGGTGGGGCACCAGGTTTGAGAAATCCTGTTCCTTTCATGGTCCCCAATATGTTAACCAGAAAAAAAACTATGTTGTCTTTTGGCTCAACCCTTGCCAAAGCCAAGATGTATGCATATTATACAGAAGCAAAGACCTTGGTTTCACATAATTTTTTGTCACTAAGCAAATGGTGATTGTACACCCTTGCAGTCAGCACAACTCTTAGGAAACTTGGGCCAGACTATGCCAACTGTAGATTGCTCCCCTCACCATTTACTCAAACCGTATTCTGTTGTCTTGGCTGGACAGCCACTTCCAATCCATCACTTTTTTATATTCACTGCATGCCACACTCTCTTTAAAAATCAAGAGCATTGCTGTGTTTTCAAGGATCTTTAAAACAGAATATCTTCTCTGAGTTGTAGGTAAGAGTTTTCCCTTGCAGTTTTCTTATTTCAGGAACTTTCCAGTTGCTTAAAAGTACCCCCCCCCCAAAAAAAAAAACCCCTGAGTTGATTGCCTAGTATTTAGGTCTCTGAGGGAAGGAAATATATTTTTTCTCCTATCCCACCCACTTGTTTTTGCTGGCTCACCCTGCCGCCTTTTTCATTTCATTGGCAATGCACTTTCTCCAGTCTGTAGGAAATAAGGTGCAAGCTTGGGTCTGCCTCCACTCTGCTCTAGAAGAACATACATACACACACACACACACACACACACATATATATATGAACATATATACATGTATATGTATATGTGTATAGAGAGAGACAGGCAGACAGACAAGAGAGACAGAGCAGAGTGACCACTGCTTCAAAAACATTGCAGTCTAGGGATAGTCAACATAGTGTCTGCCCTCCAGATGCTGTAGACTACAACTCCCATTGTTCCTGACCATTGACCATGTCAGCTGAAGTTGTGGTACAGAACATCAGAAGAGAACCATATTGTTTTACCCCGTTGTAGTCTTTTGGATTCTCCTTGGACCTTCAAGCATCCTGTTTATTGGATTCAATTGGCCACAGCGTTAGAACCATCAGCAGCCTCTTGTTTATTATAAATGGAGCAAAAGGAATAAAACCGCTTTGCGCATGGTTGACTATGGAAAAGCAGCATACAAATAAATGATGATGATGTATTAGGTGTTCCATGGGATAAGGAGTCCAGCGAGGAGACCCTGAAAGTAATTTGCCTTTCTCTGTTCTGGAGACGAAGCCACTTCAGTGTGTGGAGGGCAGGTCACAGGTGGGAGAGGTGCACAAGCCTTTGGTGGAATAACCCCAATATAGTCTGTAACTTCTCACTCATGTTCAGTTTCTTCGTCCTTGCCACATGCCAGTTCAACTTCCTTTTCAAACCTTCACATCCAAAACTTGTGCAAAAAAAGTAATGCTGAGATTAGAAACTCTGTAGGAAATAGGTTCGGAATTCCTCTCTGCAGAGCTTCCACTGTGGCAGCTAATTTTCTTTTATTTGATTTTGCTGCTGAGCACTGTGTTTTCCTTCCCTGCTATCCATGGAATGACAGCTGAAGTATCCCTTTCCTCTGCCATGGATAGATTTTTAGTTGCTGCTTAACTGAAAATAATATTCATGTTTTAATAGTGGGCTAATGGTTGCCCCATATTCTAGAGTACTTGATTCTGGGTTTGTAGACTATACTTGTGAATGAGGGGGGCATCTGTGTGGATGGAGAGAAGAAAACCGTGATGGAGGAAGAGGCGCTTTTAAATTGATCTTGTCCCTCTGCCTTAGCTTGTGTGCAGGGAGAGGATATACTCATATTGTTTTCCTCTTGGTTAACTCTTTCTAATAGAGAGATGCCCCCCAAAATACTATTTTTGTAATCAAGCACAGGGATCTCTTCTGGTGTATAAATATGATGAATGCATAGAAAAAGCTTCATTTTGGCTGCTGGGAAAACAGTTGCCATATAACTTTTCAGGAATCTGAAATGAGATTTTCCCCAAAGTATATGTCCTTGCAGAACAACTGCCTTAGTTTTTTTGGAAGGTGTGGAGGTAATGGGGTGTTTCTGTTTCTCTGATCCCTGGAAGAGAAGGGGTTAAGCTATTAAAAGCATTTTTGTTCTAGTTTTCTTTTGGTGTCCTCCTTCTGTTCTTGAGACAGTTCTGACCTTGTGCCACTAGTTTGCTGCAAAGATTTGCATGGTTGGTGGGTATGCTAACGAACACCTGATCTTCCTGCTCGGAGGCAAGATTTTTACGCTCCCCAGTTGCATAACTTGCGAAGCAGCAGTTTTGCATAAAAACGCAGAATTCAATGGTGGCTATATTTCTTATGCAGGGAGAGAAACTTTACCAACTTCCTAAATAAAAAATCAGCGGAAAAACCATTAGATGATCCTCTAAGAATCTCTGTATTTTTCCATGAGGGGAAAGGTTTAGGAATTGCTAGTTTAGGAGAAACTCGAATGGTAGCTGTTTGGCCCAGTTCATGGTGGTCTGCTTTATGCCTCCTGTCAAGAGGGGTGGTAGCTGCCATAGCTATACTTGGGGGAGAGTATAGCAAATTATTTGCAGGCTCAAGGGCTTGAGTCCCATCTACTTAAAGCAGGGATGGGGAGTTTCAAGCCTTTGGGGGTCACATGTAGCTCTCCAGGCCTTTATGAGATTCTCCAGAGGCCAAAGCCCCTAACTAACTCTACTCTGTGCCGTCCTTGAGTGCATTTGCCTGGCTGGAATGTGCCCTTGAACTCTGACCATTCCTCTTACTTGCCTAGAGGGGGAAGGGTATAGAAGTAGAAAAGTCAGAGTCTTACCTGCTGTCCTGCCCACTTTTTCCTCTGAGTTCTCCCATGCAGTCTCTGGAAGGTTATCCACAAGGAAATGCAGCCCTGTCCCTGATCCTAAAGGAAGAGGTACCAGGTACCATATTTTTCGCTCTATAAGACGCACCTAGTTTTTGGAGGAGGAAAACAAGAAAAAAAAAATATTCTGAATCTCAGAAGCCAGAACAGCAAGAGCAATCGCTGCACAGTGAAAGCAGCAATCCCTCTTGCTGTTCCGGCTTCTGGGATAGCTGCGCATCCTGCATTCGCTCCATAAGACGCACACACATTTCCCCTTACTTTTTAGGAGGGGAAAAGTGAGTCTTATAGAGCAAAAAATACGGTAATTGAAAGCACACCTGTCTGAAATCTTGGAACACTGCTACTAGTCAGAGTAAATTGCTGGTTTAGGAACAAATAATCTGACCTGGTAAAGGGTCACACCCTATAGTCCCATAAATCTGTGTGTGTGTGCATGGATGCATGGATATTTTCTCAGGGAATGTTTGTCGCAGTCCTAGTAGAAAAACTCATGTCTTCTGTTTCCAGTATCCTAGAAAAATTACAAATCCTTATCTAGACCCATCACAATTACGTTTCTATAGTGTGGGTAACTGGGCAATCAATAGTATTGGCAGGATCAGTAAGGGAATGATGCATCATCCTGTGTTTGACACCATATCCCTGCAGTGCTCCTGGTTTTCTTGTAGAAATAGAAAGCTCAGAATAGCTTGATTCCAAAGACTTTGCAAAATGAAGACATCTGCTAAGAGGACAGTTTGTACCTAGACCAGTTGGCTACACGTGTGCACCCAAGGATGAAGACAAGGCTGGCTGATATTCTGGCTTGCTTTCAGTAGAAAGATCCCTCTCTTAGGGATATCTGTAAGAAATCGTGCATACCGATCCTGAAAGGGTTGCTTCGCTAGGTACAAACTGTTCTCAAGAGAGCGCTCTATTTTGGGGAAGATCCTATTTTTTTATGCCTGGCGCTCTGACATTTGGCGCACAAGTTTGTAGACCTCCCTTCCCTTGAGGCTGCATTTACTAATCAAAACCAGTAAGCTATTAAGATTTGTGAAATATTTGCTATCTTTTTAACCTCTGCTACATCAGTGGGGTAAAAATGAATGGAGCCAGGTGCAATCACATTACATATCTATCTTCACTCCTGCATAATTGTATGGTTTTCATTATTAAATGTGAAACTGGTGAGCTGTTCATGAATGCATAATGTATAAATGCCTTCCTGTACAGCTTGCCTCTTTGAATGTTAATATGGCAATTCAGTAGGGGCTTGTCTCAGTTAACTGTAAAGCAGAGACAGTCCTTGGCTTCCCTTTCAATTTGAACATGCCTAAATTCACATATGGGATGTGGGTGGCACTGTGGTCTAAACCACTGAGCCTAGGACTTGTCGATCGGAAGGTTGGCGGTTCGAATCCCCGCGACGGGATGAGCTCCCGTTGCTCGGTCCCTGCTCTTGCCAACCTAGCAGTTCAAAAGCATGTCAAAGTGCAAGTAGATAAATAGGTACCGCTCCGGCAGGAAGGTAAACGGTATTTCTGTGCGCTGCTCTGGTTCGCCAGAAGTGGCTTGGTCATGCTGGCCACATGACCTGGAAGCTGGATGCCGGCTCCCTCGGCCAGTAAAGCAAGATGAGCACCACAACCCCAGAATTATCCGCGACTGGACCTACTGGTCAGGGGTCCCTTTACCTTTAAATTCACATATGCAGTTGGGGATGACCCTAAGAATATATTTGGGGTGATATTCTGGGTAGCAAATTCAGTTTTGATGTATTGCCGTCTGGGAGTTTTCTGCCACAGGCTTGGGCCACCCCTACAGAGATGTTTGTGGCCAAAATATGAGGTTAACCGACCTCCCTCCGGATTCTACTCAGGCTTTATGGCCATAGGTACACATGGATGGCTTACAGTTGAAATCAAAATTATTCAACCACCATTGCAAATCAGGTTTATTGTCAAAATTTACAGACTTTCAGCTGTTTGCAATGAGCAAATCAAACCAAAGCTATTCACACAGCTCAGTGCAACAGATGCTTCAAGTGGCTTCCCCAAATTCAGCTGAAATTGCAACTTATACTGGCTTCTCCGAGAGGAAATGGTGGGGCTCTGTCCTCTGGGGTCTCCTAGGTTCTGCACCCACCTGGTGAAATCCCCCCCCCCATAGCCTTTGATTTCCACTTCAGCCATTGGGTAAGGTTGATTTGTCTCTTCCTTCCACCTCTTGTTCCTGGTGAAGATCTTTATTCACCTCTTTCTTCCTTGGCAGGAGGACGTGCCATTTTGTGGTTTGCCTCAAGTACCAAAATGTCTTAGGCCATCCCTGCTTAGGGTGCTGCATTTTAATGTGGCTTGAGCAGAGAACTCTACAGGATCAGAACTATCCGCCTGCCAGTTTTAATGATACCAGAATTCACAATGGGGTGTGCTTGCCTTGGCTGACCTCATGGTGGAGCTGTTCGTTACTTCTTAATGCAGCTATATCGTACAGTGGTACCTCAGGTTACATATGCTTCAGGTTACATATGCTTCAGGTTACAGACTCCGCTAACCCAGAAATAGTGCTTCAGGTTAAGAACGTTGCTTCAGGATGAGAACAGAAATCAGGCTCCGGAGGCGCAGCAGCAGCAGGAGGCCCCATTAGCTAAAGTGGTGCTTCAGGTTAAGAACAGTTTCAGGTTAAGTACGGACCTCCAGAATGAATTAAGTACTTAACCTGAGGTACCAGTGTATAGGGAAATCACTTACAGACTGAAACTTCTCAGTGGAAACAGAAAATTGTAGGGTTGGGTATGGGTGTTTTTTGGACGGGGAGAGGGCAGGGGTCTTTAGCAGAAGCTCATTATAATATCCCTACTTAGAAAGCAAGTGGGAATTGCAACCCACTCCACTGGAGAGAATGAATTTTCATGGTAAGTCCAACATTCCCTTTTTGCATCATATTGTTCAGAGCGACAATACACTGTTAGGCACGAAGAAAAATTCTACAGTGCAGCGACTTCAGTGGTATAAGATGTCACCCCCTGTAATACAGGAATCTCTTGCCCAACATAGGATGAAGGCTAAACACAACTCAACCAATGTTCTTATTAAGAGTAAACTGTCTAAATAGAAATAATGATAGCCACCCTTTACTGCTTAATACCATTGTTTACTGCTACTATGCAGGGAATGGTTTAGTCAAAGATGACCCTGATAAAAGCACCTATATATGAGCAGAGAAGTGGGGTGCATGGCTGATGGACTTCGCAGAACTGGCGAAACTGATGGGAAGAATCTGGAACCAGCAAGACCAAGCATTCCAAAAAGACTGGAATAAATTTATATTATATTTGAAAGACAACTGTAAGCAATTAACATCTGAAGATTTGTAAGATGAAATTGCTACCTATTCAGGTTGAGTAATATAATATTTTAGGCAATGATATATAACAAGGATAGGAAACGAAGCAAATTGTAAAGATGTAAAGTTTAATTTTGTAAAACATCAGATGGGAGGGAGGGAAGTCAATAGGTTCAGTTGAGCCAAAGAGATAAAATAAGAGGGTACGATGGTACGTAATGTGATTATATGTAAAACCAATAAAAATCTTTATAATAATAAAAGAAGAAGTGTGAGACTAAGGGGAATTTCAAGAGGGCATTTGAACACAGAGCCATAGCTAGGTGATCTTGCGCCCAGTCCAGATTACGGCCCCTAGCCACGGACATCCATCCATTCAATTCCTCACACACTTCACCTTGTAATGAATTCTTTCACAGAAATCCAGTATTTAATTTATTATTTCTTAATAAAAGGTTTCAGCAAAGAAAATTACATTTTGATGTGAGTTGACAGTTCTTAAAAAATGTAATTCAGTTGTATAACAATACACACACAAAAACGGTAAAGGACCCCTGACAGTTAGGTCCAGTTGTGAATGACTCTGGGTTTGCGGTGCTCATTTTGCTTTACTGGCTGAAGGAGCCGACGTTTGTCCGCAGACAGTTTTTCCGGGTCATGTGGCCAGCATGACTAAGCCACTTCTGGCGAAACCAGAGCAGCGCATGGAAACGCTGTTTACCTTCCTGCCGGAGCGGTACCTATTTATCTACTTGCACTTTGACGTGCTTTTGAACTGCATCTTCCAACCCACCTTTGTGCAATGGTATGCATGTGCCCTACTCCTTACTAAAATGGAGACTTTATGTGCACACTGGTCCCCAGCCTCATTCCCTGAAGAATGGGGTTCTGTCCCCAGGTTCATCACAACTACCTGTGAGGAGTTGAGTGAGTTCCAGAATGTTCCCTCAAAGTTTCTTTCCAAAGTTTCCCTTTCCCCCAAGGATAGGGAAAAGACCACAAGCTTGGTAAAAGTTTTTTTTTTTAAGGTTTACTTATAAATTCTCCAAATGTCAGATTCATGTGCTTCAGAAAAGGTTGCACAGGCAGTAAAACTCAGCTTAGATGCAAAGTGTTTAATGTTACTTACTTACTGGTATAGGAATTCAAAAGTGGCTTGTGAGAGCCATGCGGTTGAGATGGAGCAACCAGCTCAAACCTCTTCACACACTGAAGACTAGGGGAGAACAAAGGGAAATATTGGTTCCTACCAAGGTGAGGGGAAGTGGACATGTAGCTAAACCTGGCAGGATAGCTTACTCTATGGTATTATCTTCATTCATTCATTAAAATACATGTTGGTTATACGAAGCTGGTTATCCCACACCAACCACATATGGAAGTTGCAGATTCCCCTGCCTTGTGTCTTGTTAAATAACCCAAGTAGGATTTGCACCTATTTCTCTGGTGTTACGCTGTTCTCCTCCTTGTCCTCAGGATCCTTCCATCTCTGCTCCTTCTTGGATTTAACCAAAGAGCTGTCACTCCAACCTGCCTATGAAAACTAACTTTTCTGTTCTGTATCATGATACCAATCATATTTTGTAATAAATGGCATATTCTTTCAGTCTAAGCTTGGCTTGCTGATTTCATTGCTAATTTACTCTGTTCTTGAGCCAAGAGTCACAGCAATCTGTGTTGGTTGAGAACATATGCACAAATGCAGTTAACCGGATTCTTATTGGTCCCATCTGCACTAGAAATTTAAAGCAGTATTATACAACTTTGAACAGTCACAACTTCCTCCAAATAATACTGGGAATTGCACTTAGTTAAGGGTGCTGACAGTTGTTAGTAGACCCCTGTTCCCCTCACAGAGCTACAATTCCCAGAATTTCCTGGCAATAGGGATTGCCAAGCTCCTCTGAGAATTGTAGCTCTGTGAGGGGAACAGGGGTCTTCCAACAACTCTTAGTGCCCTTAGCAAACTACAGTTCCCAGAATTATTTGGGGATTTTTAAAAGTTGTATAATACTGTATTGATTTAAATATATAGGCCTTAATTTTATATTTATATGTTATGGAATTGTAGTGACCCAAATGGCTTTACACATGCAGAGTGCGATAGAAATGTTTAAATAAATAAAACCCTCAGTGGGTATTTCAGAAGCCATTTTGTGTCAAATGAATGGTTCCTTAACCCCTGCTGAAATGCCTTGGGAAACCCCACATAGGTTTCACTCCCCTTCTTGATGATGACTCACAGGGGGAGAAACCAACTCTGCTACATGAAGGGGGACAAAACTTTGAGCCTCCAGCTATGGAAAGCACTACATCCAGTATGCCATCTTGAAGAATATGTGAAGTGCATGCCGGTTTTATGGTGCCAAGGTAGAGTAGGGGCAAACAAAAATAGTAATGCTTGGGTTTCAAAGGAAAAAAATAAACTGAACACTCTCACCCCTCCCCAATGTTTGCCATGAGTTGGTTTGGCCCACTGCTTCACGATCTCCAGCCCTCGTGTTTGGGGACTCAGATTGAAAAGGGCTTTGCAAGGGGGTGGTGGGTTGGGTAAGTCCTGGAGGTTTGCAGACTGGCTGGCGTGTACGTGTTGCCGTAGGCCAAGAGCTAGTGCCATTTCTTTTATTTCAGTCATATCAACCAGACTTCTCTTAGCTTAGATAGCCATTATGGCTTGGGGAGAGGAGCTTAAGGTTGCTTTCCTTTCATTTTCCTTCCACTGGAAGCCTGTGTTCTTCCTTGCTCTGTCTGCACTCTTTAAAAGCAATTATATTTCAAAAGGGTTGCACCAGTGTAATTTCAGCCTAATTTATGCCATCAAGGAAATATTTGTAGGAAATGCAGCATTCTTGACACTTTTTTCAATACTCACCACCCCAAAAGTTGTAATTTGCTTCATTATATTCATTAAAACAACAGGGCTTTTCTTCAGCGAAGATAATAATTAGAATGGGAGTATTAATTTGAGATTGTTTTTCCTCAGCAATTGACTGAGGCACATAGCTCATCCACACAGAAGTGTGCTTTGTCCCTTTTGTGCCGTGATTAAAATAAATAAAACTTGTTGCTGCCGCTTAAAAGTTCATGTTCTCAACCCAGAGGAGGGGGAGCCATGACAATACTTCCAAATGTGTACAAACTTCCCATTGGATATTTTTGTATTTGTTTATTTTATTTGAACAATTTATATATTGCTTAAAATTAAACAGGACTCTGAAGTGAAACTAAACAAAAACAAGTGAAAATTAAAAACTTTTAAAATGGTTAGGCTTCAGCAATCCCTCAAGAGAGATTCCCTCCTTTTCTTCCATATATGGTAATTCCACAGCATACTCCCACATAATGGAGAAACCAGGGGCTTCAGTTAGATCACCATTTTGTTTTGTTTAGGAATCATGCAGATTAAAGTTACCTGTTTCTTTTATGTTCAACTCTTTCTCCAGGGAGCATAAGGCATCACAGATGGTTCTCTACCACCCAGTTTATCCTCGCAGCAGCCCTGTGAGGCACATTGTGGAAAAGGGCTGTGGCTCCTTGGTAGATCATCCACTTTGCATGCAGAAGGTCCCAAGTTCAATGCCTGGCATCTCTCCAAGTGGGGCCTTCCCTTTCCAAAACTGGAGACCCACTGCCTGTCACTATTGAGCTTCTTCCTATATTGAGCTCACCTTCCTATATTTCCTAGGTTAGGCTGAGAGCTAGTGACGATCAAAAATAACCCTAAAGGCTGAGCAGATTCATTGTTCTTAGCACAACTGGAGAAATAAATGAAAACTTTTTTAAGGCCGAGCAGGGATTTTAATAGTCTCCATCCGTAGCTCATCAATCTATCCACTAATGCACTAGTTCTCAGCTATACTCTCTCCTGAGCAGAAGCTGTTAACAGATATCTTAATGAGCACCTATGGCAACAATGCTGTGTTAACTGGTAACCCCAAAGTAATGCTTCTCAACTTTTCTATCTCACCAAAAGAGAGGTTTTCTCGCTGGTCCTCTGACATAGTGCAGTGAACACAAAAGCTGCATGCACAATCTCTAATCCTCCCATGGCTGTTCTGTGACTGTAATCATAAAGACTTGGCTTGAACGTTTCATTCACCTTAGGCATTAGGAACAGTGATCTTACTGATGGTCAGGACTCCTCTGTGTAAGAAAAAATAAAGGAAATAAGGGGGGAGACCACAGTCACCATGAAAACTCTTTTATTAAAAATATGCTTCTTGATGGGTAATAAAACAAACTAAGGGCAATAATCCTTTAGGCAGTGAGCAATGAACCCACTGACAGCCAATCATTGCTGGTCCCCCATCAACGGTAACAGATGATAATTGGTGAAGAGGCAGGCATGCTTGTAGCATAGTTCTCAACACTGAATGCAACACTCATGTCTGACAACAGAATAAATTTATATTTTATGGAATTGTGGTGTCCCAAATGGCTTTATGCATGTAGGGTGCGATAGAAATGTTTAAATAAATAAATAAAACCCTCAGTGGGTATTTCAGAAGCCATTTTGTGCCGCATGGTTCCAGCAACAATGCTTAACCCCTGCTCGAATGCCTTGGGAAACCCCACACAAGTTTCTCTCGATGATTTACCAGAGGCTTCTTGTAGCATAGTTCTCAACACTGTATGCAACACTTAATGTCTCATCACAAATGAAACTGATCTGTAGAAAACACAACTTAAAAAAAAAAGACAATGCGCGTATTTTTGTGAACTAAGAAATCTTTAATAAAAATATTTTTTTTTAAAAAAAGAAAAAAGCCAGAAATATATCCTCATCTCTCGTTCTACCTTTCAGTAGTAGTAGTTTCAGCAGCCCTTCTTGGGAGATTTAAGGATGAGTTAATCAGTCAAAAGCTGATTGCTAACAGCACTTCTTGCAATTTGGGGACTTTTTATGGGGGCTTTAGTGCTTCTGACGGTGGGTTGGTCAACGACATATAGACAGAGAAGGTATGTGTCATATCTGCTGAGGCTGACATATGTCCTGTTACAACACTAAAGGAATATATCAGGTTCAGGGGTAGCATACAAATGAACCTGTTCTATCGTCATGATAGTCAGCCCCTGATCCTGACCAAGCTTCAGTTTTTCGTAGGGCTCCCAGGTTCCAGCTGATAGATCATGATTTTCTTCCCCTCTTTCCATTAGATCGGGTTTGGTATTAGGCATTTAAAACATGCCACAGAGTGCGTGCAGAGTAGACCACACAGATGGAAACACTGAAAAGACGCAAAAATAACATTGCATGGTTTAATAACAAAACGCTTAACATACATCTTACATAGTGTCTATAATCATCGCCCATCCATCCACCATGGCGGAGTAAGGTACATACTGCACATTATATATATATATCATTCACAATTGCTGACACAGCTAATTACAGTGACTTATCAGCACCTGCTACACAGCTGTAAAAACTAGGTCAGGATATGCACCCTGGCTTTTAAAGTGGTACACACCTTGTGAAACAACGATGAACCCTAACATTTAAACAAACTATTCAACAGCTTCCTGGGGGAACTTGCACTCCAGTGCAGTCAGCAGTTTTGCCACTTGTTTCTTGTTCTAATCTGGCAGCTTGGTTGTTCCTCTTATGATGACCAGCCCAAAGGAAAACCCCCATCAATAATGGAACTTGATGCGTTGACTTTTTGGTGCTACTATAGATTACCCGTAATGAGGCAAAAGGGGCTACTTCAGCTGAAAACAACATAAAATTAAAAGCCCACTGGGTTTCTTTGTTCCCTTCAAAAATTACATCATGAATAAGAACTGGGTATTGAAAACTACCATCTGGGAAAGGAAGAGGGTTCCTTAGCCCTGCATCAAATGCATCTGTTTGCACAACAAACTTTTTAGTAAAATTAGGCCCCTTCAGTGCTGGATTATAATGGGTTCATTAAGTGCTGAGTAGAGATATCAGAAAATACTGATGGAAATAAAAGAACGGAAAGCGCCAATTTTCATTTATTTGTCCCTTGGCCACAACAAAAATCAATTCAGTGAATACTATTTGTATTTGCCACTGTTACTGTTTGCAGACTGAAAGCAACATGTAAATAATTATTTTTGCATTGAGTTTCCTTTATACTGAAATATATGAGGTAGAATAACATGCCAATTATGCTTACATAATTTGGTATTTAGTTATGTACGTTATGTAATTTTACCACAGTGGATTGTGGGGTGGATTATGGATTGTTTTTTGGGAAAGACAAAACTGCAGAGCAATGGAAACATGGCTGTGGCTGAAGAATTCATAGTGGAAAATAAAACACTCCCGTCTTAAAACCCTAATGCTGAGCTGAAGCACCCAGCCCAAAGATTTCCGTGGGTTCCCCCCCAATAAATACTTAAGTTCAGAAACAGTACAATAAACCAAAGGAACACAGAAACCAACATATATTCTACATAAACAAAGCAAACAAAACTAAGATGAGAAGCCTGTCCATAATTTGAATATCCACAGAAGGAATGCTGGTGACAAAGGGAGGGCATAAGTCTTATAAAGATACACACATCAGTACACAACAGAAAAGAGGTATGTGTGACTGTGAAGCAGAGTTAGGAATCACACATCCTAATTTACAATACAATGAGCTAAAGGTAGTCTGGGTTCTCCAGGGTTGGAGTTGATATAGGAAAGAAAAAGGAACAGGTTTTCACAGAACCTGTCAAGTTTCATGCCCCAAAGACTCTGGGGGCATGCCTACTCAGTTGATTGCAGAGTACCAGCTCCAAAGGGATGTATTAATTTCATTAGTAATAGTTTACTAAGGTAAAAATAAGCTTAACAGTTCAATACCAGATCCCTGGAATAGTAATCTCTTAATAATCCACTTGCAGCAAAAATACATAACAGTAGAATAAAACTTACACTAAGTAAAAATCAGTCCATAATGAGAGAGGAAAAGAACAGGGAGAGAGGAAAAGAATGAACCCCCATCAAACTGCAGTTGTAGACAGTCCTGGGGCAGTTTGGCCTTGAGGGAGGGATAACTCACTAAGCTCATCCCAGCTGCATTTCTGTTCCCTTGAGAACCCTCCAAACTAGAATACTTCCGTTGGCTTCTGTAAGCTCTATGGCTTCTGTACCTCAGAAACTCCATTATACCTGACAGAACCTGCCCTTTGTTTCCCCTGTGGCCAATTTAGATTGCCAAGTAAGTTTGTCTGATAAAGCTTCTTGCCATAGGTAGGTTTTGAGAGAGGGCAAAAGCACCCTCTCTGGAAAAAAAAGCAAGGGAGCATTTCTCATGCTGTGTTCTATAGCATTGTCATTGTGTGCCCTGTGGCATGGGACCCAGTGCCGTCACACTACCCTAAAACTGCTTCTGCTCTCTGAACCACCTGGGCAAGTTCCTGAGGCAGAAGGCCCATGTCAGACAGAATGTCAGAATATGCCGTATTGCTCCCAGACATACATACTTGAGAGAAAATATGTCTGCCCCCATTGTGGTCAAAGGAGGAAAGAAAATTGCACAGGACAATTCTTAGCATTTGCACCCCTCCCTCAAAACAAACCTGTTCAGGTGGCACTTGCACCTCCAGAAACCTATCAAAATGGCAGGATTCCTGAGAAAACTCTTACCTATCCCTCTAGCATTGGCAAGTACAAAAAAGGGGCAGGGGGAGTTGCTGCTGTTGTACAATTTGGACTATTGGAGTTTGATAGCTGGAAGTTATGGTACAAGGGTGTACATTTCTTTTCATATGCTGTTTTTATTTATTGCATTTGTTCATTGCTTCATACCAAACAACAACCTCAAAGCAACTTAATAAAGAATTGTTATAGGCAGGATAAACTTAGAAATTAATAAATGCTAGGATTTTGGTTATTTGTGGTATGAAGGGAGAATGCAAGCTGCAAAGGAATTCCTGTGCTGGCTTATGCAGACCAGCCCGGCTGGCTGGGGGAAGAACAGACAAGGTGTTTGAAGGGCCATAGAAGGATCCTTTGACCTGGGGAGTCAGATGTCACAAAGGTTGCTGGGGTAACTGTGTTTTGGGGACAGGAAAGGGGAGCTCAGACACAGGGGCTTCTGGGCAGAAGGAAGAAAGAAAGGGGAAAAGGAAAGGTCAGCAATGCTTTGGGCCATGCTTTAAGATCTGGACTCCCCCCATGCGGACTGAAGGTGTAAATAGGTGAATAAACCATATTTTTCAACGGCTATAAATATTCTCTCCTGGGCAGATTTTCCACAGTTTATGATGTTATCCGATCCCAGGAACAACAAAACCTTCCACTCCTGGTCTGCACCCTATTCTGGCATTTTGAGTTTTGTAACACTGGTGGAATTTTGCCTGTATTGTACCATCAGCCTGAGATGCCCAACTCCATGGCCTACCTAGCAGCAAGTCCCACTGGCAGTATGCCAAGTCCAAAATTAAACAATTCATTGGGTTGATCCATGTAAGCAAAGTCCCCAAAGTCAGGAAACACAGTCCAGGATCAATCTCAAAACACAGTCCCGTAGCAGTCGTAGAGCATCCGAGACCAAGGACCACCAACAAGGGCAGTTGAGTAGACCCAGCACCTTAGCTCTGCTTCCCTTTTATACCTTGCATGTTGATTGCAGCATCTGGGCTTCACGAGGCAGGTGACCATCATCTGTTCTGAGCCTACTGCAGCTGAGGAATCACAGGGAGAGGGAGTGGGTCAGGAAAAGGTCTACAGGAGAGGAAGCCGGAGGGTGGGGTTAGCCTCAAAAGCGGACATGTCCATGAGGCTCTGGAGAACAATCCCTCCCTCCAGTTGCATCAGGCGCCCTTGCAGGCCCTCACCTCTGCCACCGCTGCCCAGCCCTGCCGGCTGTCAAATTGCTGCTGCCTGAACCAGGGCTTTGTCCTGAAAGGGGGGAAAAAGGAACCATGACCACAAATTGTCCCTTCTCACTTCCAAAGGTGAAAATGTTAAATTCCTGTAGTTCCTTGGAAGAAACCTTGCCATTTCAATTGATTTCTAAAGACGATGTCCTGAAACACCCAGACCCAGGAGATTCTTTTTCTGCCCATTTTTCTGAATGAAATCAAGGAATGTGGTGGCTATGTCTTGGCTTGGCAAGTTCAGCCGCTCATAGCAGCTGCTGAGGACCCTAGGGTCTATGCTGGGCACTGCACCCTGGAAAATCTGACACGGCAGCCACCTACACACTCTGGTCAGTGACCGAAATCAGTTGACTCAGCCACCTGCTGCCGTACAGAGCTGAGCAGTAGCCCATTGTAACGGCCACTACATAATACATATGGAGGTAGTTTGGGGTTGGATGAGTGAGCAGATGCAGGAGCAAACTGGCACACTGGGAACTCCAGTGGCAGCGGAGACAGTAGCAGTACCAGGCAAGGCCCCAGATTGGCAGTTGGTGGGGCAATGCAGGTGGGGCGTCGTTGCTCACCTGCCTTCCAGATAATTGGGTGTTGCTGCCAGTTGCTGAGAGGGTGAGGCGTGGGGAGCATGGCACAGTGCAGGCAAAGCAGAGGAGCCCCACTTGTGCTGCCCCATCAGTGGCCCCATGCTGAGAGCTCACTAAAGGTCTTGGGAGACCCTCTTTCTTCTGTTACTGGGAGGGCATTTTCCTCTGGGAAAGACACAGGAGAAAGACTCCACAGCCCACATTCGGCAGATACGGAACATGGAGCTCTTTGCTCATTTGTCCGCATTCTGCCTTTAGCGCCTGTTCATCTTGTGGAAACATTCATATAATTTAGCAGAGTTTAAACGATCCCCTGTTTGAGATTATGCAGCGACAAGCGGGTTGCTAACTCATTTGAGTCCTATCAATAATTATACCTTCCTGGTGATAATCCCTTTCTGTCCCTCTTAAAGAAAACAAACATGAATCTGAATCATATTAACATAAACTACTTTACTATCAGATTCATTTGGGTTTACAGAGTTGTTCCTGAAGGCAGGCTTACGTTACATGATAGATAAACTATATACTAGATAGTAGTGAGTCATGAGAAGACTGCATCCAAGCAGTTACCAGTTAACACTCCTTTCAGCAACCGACTGTGGCGATCACACAGGGTCCCCGGACGTTTCACCATCTATTGATCCCTGTGCCACCACTTTATTTCTCGCTGCCACAACCCAGGCCCTACCTGGTACAATACTGAGTCCAGTCAGAGTTAAATTGGAACATAAACGTTTGTTTATTGCAGTTTAACAAGCGTGTGGTTTCATAAACGGTATCAGTCAATTACAATCATGGGGTGCCTATCCAGACCTATAACTTCCGCTACCTGCTCTCACTCACTAAACCAGTTCTCAGATATTTGTCTTCCTAGCCCCCAACTATTCCTGACTCAGCTTATTTTGCTACACTAACTCAACCTACCCACAAACTATCCCAATTCACTCCCACGCCACCCAACGAACTCTACTCTTTTTTTCCTCCAAAATTTTATTGATTTTCCAAAATTTATAAACAAACAAAAATACTAACTGTAATTATTCCACTCTTAATAACATTAAGTGACTTCCTCGAATCCCCCTGGCTGAGTTTCAATGTATATCATTGTAACAGTTTTCCAAAACAAATTTCTCAAAATTTACTTAATCAATTAACATCTTTCTTTTCATTTTAAATTTAAACATATTACTCTATAACGTCACATATTTAAATCCTAAGCCTATTTGGTATTTGCAAGTATTTCTATTTAAATTATCTTAGCATATCTAACTAAATAGTCTTTGAATTTCATCCATTCCTCCTGGTACTCCTCCTCCTCCTGGTCGCGGACTCTTCCGGTCAGGTCGGCTAGCTCCGAAAAGTCCATCATCTTCATCTGCCATTCCTTCACTTGTTAGCCATGAATTGGAAAACACAAGAAGTGCCAACAAAATTCTAGGTGCAGTTGTGGCGTACAAAAACAATCTAACATCTGTCTTGGGCAATTCCAAACCTGTTATTCCAAGAAGAAAGGCCTCTGGTTTCTTAATAAATGTATATTTCAACATTATTTTTTTTTCAATTTATAAATCTTCTCCCAGAAGTCTTTCACCTTGGGGCAGGTCCACCACATATGATAAAAGGTACCTTCTTTTTCTTTACATTTTCAACATAGATTATCACTATTGTGATATATCTTTGCTAATTTTACAGGAGTTAAGTACCATCTAAACATAATTTTCATAATATTTTCCTTTAACACCGTACATACAGTGAACTTGACCCCTTTCCTCCACAACCTTTCCCAGTCTTCAAACATTATGTTATGTCCCACATCTCTTGCCCCATATCATCACAGATTTAACTTGTTGGTCCTTTGCATGCCATTCCAACAATAGATTATACATTTTAGACAAATTTTTAACTTTAGAATCTAGCAACTCTGTTTCCAACTTGGTTTTTTCCGATCCAAAACCATTTTTCTTGTCTAGTTTATACAGTTCATTGATCTGGTGGTAGTGTAACTGATTCACTTTAATCTTCAATTTGATCAAATGGTTTTAATTTAAATCCTTCTTTATCTTCCAGTAATAGATCTGAATATCTCAACCAATTAGTTTCCATATTTAACTTTTTCTGGGCCTTTGCCTCCATTGGCGAAAGCCAACTGGGTGTTTTCCTTTCTAAGAGATGATTTTTAAAACCATTATGGGCCTTTATCTTGTCAATTCAAGTTCAACCAAGTGCTTTTGCAGAATTTTGTCTTTCTCTCCAACAGTCTTAATTCTTTGCTTTCTTCCTTCAAATTTGAAGGAGAGACCCTCCAGGAATTCCCCAACAAACTGCCCCTCCCAGAGCTGGTTTTATAGTCCCTCTGACTCCACCCCCTGGGTCCTGATTGGGTAACCTGTTTAACTATTTCACCTCCAGCACTCTCATGTTAACGTCACATACCTCCTCCCTTAAGAAGTTTTGATTCAGGAGAGTTAACTGATCAAACAGGTTTTTTGTTTTGTTTTTCTCTCTATATATACGTACATAAACAAGTAAATTATCGATTGTCTCTGTTCATCCTTCACTCTCTGGTTTTCATGATAAGGCTTCCGCCACAATGTTCAAGAATCCTTTCACACTTTTGATGGTAAAATTGAAGTCTTGTAGTAGTAAAGCCCACCGCAGCAACTATTACTCTAAATCGATCGCAGCCATATCAACGGTGAGTGGTCTGTACATAACACAAAGCTTCATCCCCAGATGTACGGCTTCAATCTTTGAAGGGCCCACACAGTTTCCAAGCATTCTTTCTCAACTGTTGAGAGGTGCTTTTCTCTAGGCAGTAACTTTTTGCTGATGTAGGTGATTGATGCAGGTCTCCCTCTGGTCCTGGCTGGCATAATACGGCTCCAATTCCGGCATTTGAAGCATCCTCCTGTTATCCGGTAGGGGTTCACAGCAATTGGTTTGGCTTCCCCTGTGTCTATCCAATGTTCCACACCCTTGGTCACTCCTGGAATATTACTGAATAAGGATTCATATTCCTTCAAGATCTGTTTTACATCTTGCAATTTAAGGGTTAAAGACGGAGCCAATTTTATGTCCTTTAAACTACCCTGGGACTCTCTCGTCCCCCCAGCATGGTATGTCTGGTTCACATGGAACCTCTCATAGGGCATACAGTGCCCAGTTTTCTGTTCTAAAATAAGGTTTGGTCATATTTATATGCACCACTTTCCGCCCTTCCTCTCCTTGCTGGATCACATAATTTACTTCATTCATTTTGGCTATTATTTTATATGGTCCTTCCCAAGCTAATTGTAGTTTGTTTCCTTTAATTGGATCTCTTTAAGGTATTCTGCAGATTAAACAAATACTCTACTATGGACTCTGGATCTTGATCTCACTGTTCTTCCCAATTCATGCAAAGTAGGTCCAGGGGCCCTTTTACTTTACGTCCCATCAATAATTCACATGGGCTAAACCCGGTACTTTCTTGGGGTACATCCCTATATGCATACAGTAGTGGTTGTATCTTGTCCCAATCATTGGGATTATCTGCAGTATAGGCTTTAATCATTCTCATTAGGGTTCCATTAAATCTTTCAACTAATCCATTAGTTTCAGGATGGTAAGGTGTTGATGTTAAATGCTTAATACCACACACTTCCCATAGTCTTTTCATTAGTCTTGATGTGAAAGAAGAACCCAAGTCAGTGATGATTTCACTGGCAAAGCCCAACCTACTCATATAGTTAATTAAAGCGGTTGCCACCGTTTCTGTTTCAATGTTTCTCAATGGAATGGCTTCTGGATATTCGGTTGTGTAATCCACTATGTTGAGGATGTATCTGTTTCCCCGCCTGCTGGCTCTAGGCCAGGGGTCTGCAACCTTTAAGACAAAAAGAGCCACTTGGACCCGTTTCCGAAGAAAAAAAAACCTGGGAGCCGCAAAACCATTGCGACATTTAAAACAAATATAACACTGCATATATTGTTTCTTACCTTAATGCTATATATACAGGATCGTGCAGTCAGCTGTCAATCTGAAGAAAAAAAGGACTTTCACTTAACAATGTAAAATATATTTTTGCAAATTAATAGCTAATTAAAATATTGAATTTACAGCGTTAATGGGACTTTTGCTCCTGAACCTCAGTGCTCAGTGTCTGCACATCAGGGCTGTAAGACGTCACCTTCATTTTCACACAGGCTTGCAAGCTGTCATCTGTGAGGCGTGATCGATGTTTGTTTTTAATATAGTTCATGTTGCAGAAGACCTGCTCACATACATATGTGGAACCGAAGATCGACAGGACTCCAAATGCATACTTTTTCATGTTTATATAAGTGTTGGGGATGGCATTCCATGTTTTGAATACAAGTTTGTCCTGTTTGGGAAGGTTTTCAATATCACTCGATTTATGATTCTGAGCCAGAATGGCCTTCTGACGGGCAACATCCTCAAGAGTAGCGGTCAAGCATTTGAACTTGGACACCCATATATCTTTGTCGGCTATATCGGCCAGTTCCATCTCAAGATCAGGTTGACTTACACCTGCAAATGCAGTCATATTCAATAGGGATGGATCGATCGCCAGGGGAGTGACAGAGAAGGATAATGTGGTTTTTTCCTCTCTGAACTCACAGAATCGTTTCCCAAACGAGCTTTGCATTGCGGTGATTGCAGACTTGAAATATTCCAAATTTATCATATCATGACTTTGTTTGAACTCTCTCAAAGAGGGAAAGTGAGACAGTGTACCTCTCTGGAAATCTTTGACAAACACTGTCAACTTGCGCTCGAATGCCAAAACCTCCTCCAGCATGTGCAGGGCTGTGCCTCCTTTCCCCTGAAGGGTTGTATTTAGCGTGTTTAGATGGGCTGTCATGTCTACCATAAAATGTAATTTTTCCAGCCACTCTGGCTGTTCCAGCTCAGCAAAGGTGAGCTCTTTGCTGGCCAGGAAGGTTTTTACTTCTTCCAAACATGTGACAAAGCGTTTTAGCACCTTGCCTCTGGACAGCCACCGGACCTTGTGGAGCAGGAGGTCAGAATATGTGCTTTCCACCTCATCCAACAGCAAATGAAACTGGCGGTGGTTTAAACCAGTGCTCCCCAACCTTTTTATCGCCGCGGACCGGTAAATGTTTGATAATTTTTCCGTGGCCTGCTTGCTTTGATTTAATAATTTTAATTTAATTGTATTTAAACATGCCTTCAAAATAAAATACAGCTACACCAAAAAATGAATATAAAGTGATTTATTTTATTTAACTCACTAGAATGCCAAATCAATGAGAACCCTGAGCTTGTTTCTTTGCAACGAGACGGTTCCATCTGGGGGTAATAGGAGACAATGACACCCGAAGTGTGTTGCTTATGTCCAGTTTATTCCGTTGTTTTGTTTTGGTTGCTGTCACTGCAGAAAACCCCGCTTCACACAGATAGGTTGTCGGAAATGGCAATAGGGATTTAAGTGCTGTGGTGGCAATCTCAAGGTATTCCGCCATGACTTTAATCCAGAACACCGGCAGAGTTGTTGTCTTGAACGTAGTTTTAAGGCCACCATCATTTGCAATCTCCAGCAGTAGTTGTTCTTCTTGCATAGACATGCTAGATTCGCCTGATTTGTTGGCAAATGGGTCGCGGATCCATTCCTTACTAGTTCGTGGGTCTTTTGTGGTTGGGAAGTAGTGCTCAAACTCTTTTAAAAGCAAAGACAGGTGATCGTGCACCAACTGGCAGAATGAATGTTCAAGCTCAGTCTCGCCTACAATCCCTACTAATGTCTGAAACATGTCCAAAATGCCTCTGTTCACGCGCCGTCCCCACAACTCCAGTTTGGCTTTAAATGCAGCTACTTTGTCTGACAACTTGAAAACAGTTGTCATTTTCCCCTGAAGGCCCAGATTGAGTTCATTGAGCAGGCTGAATATGTCACACAGGTAAGCCAGTTTTGCGACCCATACCTTGTCACTAAAATGTGCTGCCAGCGGTGACTTCTTTTCTGAGAGAAATCTTTGCAATGGCTCTCGTAATTCAAATACTCTGGTTAGCGATTTTCCTCTGGATAACCATCTTATTTCTGTGTATAAGAGAAGGCATCTGTACTCTGCGCCCATCTCCTCACAAAGCTGCTCAAACAGGCGCGAGTTAAGTGTGTGTGCTTTGATGTGGTTAATAACTTTAACGACATCCATCAATACGCTGTTAAATTCCGGTGACATTTTTCGGCTTGCCAGCATTTCCCTGTGAATGAGACAATGCGTAGATTCACTCTCAGGTGCAACCTCCTTAATCCGAGCAGTTAAACCAGACAGTCGTCCGGTCATGGCAGCAGGTCCGTCTGTGCATATGCTGACACAAGGACCATTTCAGTTTTTCTGATATATAACCATCCAGTGACTTGAACAGTTCTGCTCCTGTGGTGTTGGTTGGCAAAGATAGTGCACATAACAAATCCTCATGCACATCCTCCTGATATAGATATGGCACATAAACAAGTAGTAGTGCCTTGTTGTCGATATCTGTAGATTCGTCAACCTGCAGTGCATACCACGGTGATGTATTAATCCTCTCCAACAATTGTGCCTCAATGTCTTCGGCTATTTCCTCAACGCGCCTAGTCACAGTGCTAGCTGACAAAGGCACATGTGCTATCTTTTCCACAGCAGCCTCTCCTAGAAGTTCACGGCAAATGCCTTTAGTGGAGGTCAAGATAAATTCTTCACCAATAGTAAATGGCTTTTTAGCCTTAGCAATGTGGTTAGCCACCAAATATGATGCTCTCAGTGCATTCTCCTTTATTGATGTGGTGGCCCTCATAAATATCTTCTGTGCTTCGTGCTCCTGTTTTTTTCTTTCAAAATACTCCAGGGGCTTGTCTTTTATGCCAGGGTGCTTGGCGGTCAAGTGGCGAAGAGGTTTGAAGGTTTCATTGCCTCATTAGAGGGCTTCTCGCCGCAAACTGTGCAGAGCGGTTTTGATGCGTGGGAATCACCTGTCCCGATAAATCCATATTTCAAATAGGACTCATGGTATTGTCTGTTAAAAGTTGCATGTTTCTTTGATGTTGAAGGTTCTTCTGTCTGTTCACTGGGCCTTTTTTTTCTTCCCAAGGAAACTTTCTAACGATGTCTGTTTCATACTCATTTTTGCTAATTTGTGGGTTAAAGCAGACACAATAACACGTCAGTACACACGAGTACCGGTGAACAGATAGAAGAGCTAGAAGAGTGATGCCTTCTCTTTCTCTTCACTCCACTGCTGCTTGCAACCGCTCAGCTCCAGATGCCACCTAAATCCGGATAGCTCAGTTGGTTAGACCATGGTGCTGAATGTAAATCAAAAAACTATCAACACAAAAATGTGATCAGTGTTTTAAATATATGACCAGTGTATCAAAATAACTGTGAAATATATATATATAAATCACAAAAGATGACTGTGCCCCCTTTCAATACAGAGATGCCAGCGCTCCCCTTTCAATACAGAGATGCCAGCATGCCCCTTTCAATACAGAGATGCCCCAGCATTCCCCCTTTCAATACAGAGATCATCGCGCCATAGTGCTGAGTCTCCTCAATAGCAGAGAACCCCCGCCCCCCCGTGCACTTATGCCTGAACCCGCACAAACACATTCGACCCAGGAGTTGTTGACCTAAATAAGTGCAATAGGCCTGGGTGAATGAGAGGGCATTCTAATAAAACCATTGCTGCTCCTCTTTCCGTTTGATAGTGCTGAGTCCCCCCCCATGCACTTACCTCACGGCAGCTTCTCTTCAGTCCCCACATCTCCGACCTCGAGTCCTCAGTCCTCCCGTGGCGCCTCCTCCTCGGCCAATGGCGTGAGGTTTGCCTTTCGGCCAATCAGGAAGCGGGAGGACCAGCTCCCTGATTGGCCAGGAGGAGCATCAGTGTAACAATAGCGAATTTTCATTCGCTATTGTCACACAATGGGCGGGCTTGAGAGGGCGCAATGCTCTGCGCCTTGGCCGCCCGCCACAGTGACATGATTTGAAGTTCCTCGGGCGGCCCGGTGCCGATTGATCCACAGACCGGCACCGGTCCGGGGGTTGGGGAACACTGATTTACTTTATTCATTTTGGCTATTACTTTATATGGTCCTTCCCAAGCTAATTGTAGTTTGTTTCCTTTAATTGGTCTCAGCAGCAATACTTCACTCTCAGGTGCAAATGACCTTACCCTGGCCTTGTCATACCAGTTTTTTTGCTTGGTTTGGGCACTTTTAAAATATCTCTCCCCCCCCCCCCCATGAACTCTAGGGATCTCTTTTAAGGTATTCTGCAGATTAAACAAACACTCCACTACGGACTCTGGATCTTGATCTTGCTGTTCTTCCCAATTCATGCGAAGTAAGTCCAGGGGCCCTTTTACTTTACGTCCCATCAATAATTCAGATGGGCTAAACCCGGTACTTTCTTGGGGTACATCCCTATATGCATACAGTAATGGTTGTATTTTGTCCCAATCATTGGGATTTGTTGAGCAGACTGATTTATTGCTCAGATAAGCCTGACGTCCGGCACGCTTCCGCTGCGCAGCTCTTGCCGGCCAGGCCTCTGCATTCCAAAGTCCACATTCCGATGCTCTGAGCAAAGCAGAGATCAGCAGCGGTAAGAGAAAGACCGCAAAAACTCCAGTGCCTGCTTCAGTGTGCTTAAATAAAGTCCACTCAGGATCTTAGCAGCTAAAAGCAGTTTTATTTACAGCAGACTATCCATTATCTATCACAGCGAACAGCATCGTGAAAAACACGTCCTCTCTCCTCAAAAGCGAAAGTAGAGAGAGAGAACAAAGGCTTGAGGCTCTCGGAAATGACGAACCTCCCCCCTCCCAACAGTAGGCAGGGCGTACACTCTGAGCTGTTTAACCCTGTAAGATCAGGTTCTCCTCACAGGATTATCTGCAGTATAGGCTTTAATCATTCTCATTAGGGTTCCATTAAATCTTTCAACTAATCCATTAGTTTCAGGATGGTAAGGTGTTGATGTTAAATGCTAAATACCACACACTTCCCATAGTCTTTTCATTAGTCCTGATGTGAAAGAGGAACCCAAGTCAGTAACGATTTCACTGGCAAAGCCCAACCTACTCATATAGTTAATTAAAGTGGTTGCCTCCATTTCAATGTTTTGCAATGGAATGGCTTCTGGATATTTGGTTGCGTAATCCACTATGGTGAAGATGTATCTGTTTCCCCGCCTGCTGGCTCTAGGCAATGGCCCTATCAGGTCCAACCCTAACTGCTGAAAAGTGGTTGATATGATAGGCAAGGGGTACAATTTGGCTTTTGTTTTGTCTTGACATATGTCACAGGCTTGACAGTATTGTTTTATTTGTTTTCCCATGCCTGGCCAATAAAATTTTTGAGCCACTCTCTGTTTTGTACATGTAATACCCATATGCGCTCCAAATACACTATTGTGAGCGTGCTGCATAAACTGTATCTGTCAATTATAATCATGGGGTGCCTATCCAGACCTATAACTTCTGCTACCTGCTCTCAACTCACTAAACCACCTCTCAGATATTTACTTGTCTTCCTAGCCCCTAACTATTCCTGACTCAGCTTATTTCGCTACACTAACTCAACCTACCTACAAACTATCCCAATTCACTCCCACTCCAACCAACCACCCAACTCTAACAAACTCCAGCACCTCCAGCACTCTCATATATTAACGTCACACCGACCAACGTGACAAAACTGCCTGCCACATAGAGGCAGTTAGTCCTCTCTTGGAATGTTGGACTTGACTGACAGCTTTATATCCCACACCCCTCACCTCCAGGAAGATGACTGCAGTGACTTCTGGCATCCCGGCAAAACGCTTACTCTTCAGAGCTGAAACGATGTATGCCTCTTCTGTCCTCCAGGTGAATGAGCACATAATAAGCCCCCACCGTAGTGGAGTAGAATTTGGCACAGGACAGGTCAAAAGTTCTGTGAAATCAGGATGTGGTGATCACACAGGGTCCCCGGACGTTTAACGGTCTATTGATCCCTGTGTCACCACTGTGCTCGCTTCCCCGCTGCCACCAACCAGTTACTCTCTGGTAAAACACTGAGTCCAGAGAGTTGTTAAAAGTGAACCAAAAAAAAAAAAAACAAGTTTATTTTACAAACATTAACAAGTTTATGGTTTCTCAGATAATATTCGTGTCAGTATCTTTACCGGCCTATACCTTCCTAATACCTTCTGACTGTCAACTGTTTGACTGACTCCTCTTAACAAATTCTCACACTGTGGCGATCACACAGGGTCCCCGGACGTTTAACGGTCTGTTGATCCCTGTAGGAGCTATCTTTATTTCTTGTAGATTGCACGGTTGCTCCCCTCTCCCTTCCCAGCATATTATATCAGCTTCGTCTGGATCTTCACGTATTGCATACAGTGTCCAGCCTTCTGATCTAAGATAAGGCTTTAACATGTTCACGTGAACCGCCTTACGCCTTTCTTCCCCTTGTTGGATTGTGTAATTTGCATCACTCATTTTGGACACGATTTTGTACGGTCCCTCCCATGCTAGTTGCATTTTATTTCCTTTGGTTGCTTCACTATCGGGTTCAAAAGTTCTTACTCTGGCCTTTTTTTCATACCAGGTTTTCTGCTTTGTTCGGGCTGCTTTTAAATTTTCCCCTGCTATCTCTTAAGGATCTTTTCAGTGTATTTTGCAGGTTGCATACGTAGTCTATCACTGACTCGGGATCTCTGTCTTGATACTCCTCCCAATTCATACAGAGCAAGTCTAACGGTTCTTTTACTTTACGTCCTAGTAACAGCTCAAAAGGACTAAACCCTGTACTTTCTTGAGGTGTATCACGATACACATAAAGAAGATGTTGTAATTTGCAATCCCAGTCATTGGGGTTCTCTGCTACATAGGCTTTGATCATGCGGATCAAAGCCCCATTAAACCTTTCCACCAAACCGTTTGTTTAGGGGTGGTATGGTGTTGAAGTTATGTGCTTGATGCCACACAACTCCCACAACCTTTTCATTAGTCGTGAGGTAAAAGAGGTTCCCAAATCAGTGACGATCTCACTAGCAAAACCTAACCGACTCCTATAATTAACTAAAGCATCCACCACGGTCTCCGTCTCTATATTTCGCAACGGGATGGCTTCGGGATACCTGGTCGCAAAATCCACAATTGTGAGGATATATTTGTGTCCTCGTTTAGTGGCTCTAGGTAATCATGACCCAGTCTCTGGAATGGTGTAGAGATTACAGGCAAAGGACACAGCTTGCCTTTGTCTTATCCTGGCCTGTGTGTCTTCTCGTGACAGATGTCACAGATTTGACAA